GATTGGTGAAGCACGCAATGCAATAAAAAAAAATGAATCTGATTTCCTTACATGCATGCTCAGAATATAGAAACACAAATAAAAATATTACCGTCATCCATGGCCCACCATGGAATACACTGCACCACTTCCCAAAATGAAATTATTCAAATAACGATTTTAAAAAAAAAAAGGCGTTCTATGGGAAGTTATCGGGGAAGTTGTTCAATAGCGTTGCCCCTTGGGGCAAAAGGTCTCAGTGTATCAAATCTTATCAAAATATAGGAAAAATTGCGGACTGTAGGTTGAAGGCGAGAACAAATCAATAGACAGACGAACAAACAGGTCATTCCGAACCGTTAGGTATAATAAAATATGGGTATTAAAATACATACACACAGTTAATGTCTAATCTCAGTCTAATTTGTTCTCAATCAATTTATCGTAATTACGTAACGAGTGTACTAATAAGGAGACTAACATCAGGAACGAAACAACTGCCTAGGATCGATCATAAATGCAAAACGTATCTCTGAAAAGTCTAAAAAAGAATCTTTACAGACACTAAATATTCTTAAATTCTATTATGCAAAAAAAAATAAAGTGTTCGTTCAATTACCAGTAAATGTAATGAAAGCGTTGCGGTACGCGTTTGTCTAGCACAGATACGTATTGTTTGTCAAACACATTTTGTCATAATTACAGACATGACAAGAAAATACAAATAGAAAATATTTTTGATAAATTACATAAACATGAAGTTACAAAGTAAAATACGTGACAACATCAAAAGTTGTTCAATATATGAAAAACGAGGTGTACATGCAAATTCAGAACTCAAACAATCGTTGGCTACAGATTGATGAAAAGCGTCAGACAAGTCGACGAAGTAATTTCAGTGTTTAAGTTATCCAATTCTGTTATATATTGTAATCGGTGTATAATTAAGTTCCATAAAATTCAAATTTACTTAAAAAATTATTATTACCGAAGTGCGCACCATCATTAGCTATGGTCTGCTGGTTCGCCTCTTATCGAGTAGCTTGTGCTCCTTTCCTGTAATAGTCATCTCCGCACATATTCACCGCACCAACTTAAGCCAGTGGCGATCAGAAGGAGACAAATGTAGAAAATAAACGCCAACCAGGAAAGAAGCTTCCAGCGTGTAGTGAAAACCAGCTCCTCGGTTGCCGTTGCTGGCGACGGATGCACGTACGCGAATTTCGTCGTTTTCGCAATGCAAACTCGAAAGAAATTTCGAAAATCACTTCCTAACTGTTTCGCAGTTAAACACATTTCCACTCCATGTCAACTTAATCGTCTCCGTACATTTCGAGTGCATTTATTCCTACTTCAATCCAGTTTAAAATTGGGAAAAGCTCAGAAAAGTGCTGCACGACGGTTTGTGTACACAATCTCTGGTACGTTTTATATATATTTCATGTAGCAAACAATTTTACTTAAGATATTCATGGCGTTTTGCAAATATCTAGATGATCCTTACAATCGAATTTCCTTAGCGGAATCCTTGTTTCTTATTAAATCTACTATTCTTAATGTTCATGTATTGTCGACGCCGTATTCAGGCTAAAATTGACATTTCTTCAAACTCGCGATACAGTCCGCCAATATACTAAGTCACGTTGTTGCATTCGGTTACTAAAATTGAAGTAAGTTTGATGTGTCTCGACTGTGAACGGACTATAGGCTTGAATGTATATATGTTACATATTTATTTATTGATTTATTTATTCAGACATTAGACGTTTATGTAGACTTCAAGACCGTTTTGTTCTGTTTCTGTTTTATTCTTTAATTATGATGTGATAATCTATGCTTGTGGCATAATATACTCTGCTGTAGCTGGAGGTCTTTGTATAAAATAGAAATAAACGGATAATGATCTAATAAATGAAATTCAAAAGTGCAAAGTTTATAAGTTTCTGAAGTCAATTAATTGTAGCAACATGTCAACGTTCATTAGGGGTTCGCACAATCACATGCACGATAATTTCTTGCGTTTTAACCGAAGTTGTCTGCTCCTTGTTGAACTAGTAAGATCTAACTGCAATCCTCAGTAATTTCAAAAGACTAGCTTCGCAAATGTCGATTTCGATATCTGTTAGCCGCTATATTGGACAAAATTTTTCTTCCTGAAAAGACTGCAATTGTCATCAACATTAGAAAAAACTTTCTTTACTTCGGACATAGCCGATTAAGTAATTGATTCAATTCTTTCCGCAATATGGAAAAAATTGCTTGATATTTGAGCGGTTGAGGAAAAAATTAATTTATTAATTTTTTTTTCTTTTAACTGAAAAGTGGGAAAAAGTTTCCGCTAAGATTAGAAAAGATTTTCAATAATATTGGCAAAAAAGTATTAATTTTAGACCAAATAAGAGAAAGAAACGATAAATATGAACGCAAGAATTCGATGAAAAACTTTTCGCTTTGCTTACTCAAATCAATGAAGAAAAATATCATGTTAGCAATCTAACTTTCTTTGCACGATACACAAATACGTCACAAATTTAATCGGAAATGCATCTCCGTTAAGATTCAAGCTTAAAAATTGTTCAATTATATTGATTGGCTTTGGACGAATATTTAGAAAAATACAACAAAATCTTGAATACTCGTCACTTTAAGGTCATCTTGGATATTCTAGATGACATTGAGTGCAATAATAAGCACAAAGCTACTGATTATTAGCGAATAAAAAAAGATCTTCAGATAATAGATAAAATTCTTTTATTAGCTTGCGGAAGTGTCCGACCGACCGATAGTGGCAATTTAGATCATTATGATAAATATTTGCGTCATGTATGTTATAGCTTGCCAGCGTTTCATAACAATAGCTCAAAAAGAATTTTTTCCCCCTTTTTGTAGCTTTTTCCATCTTTTAGCATAGCCATCTTGAAGCTCCAAACGCGGCCTTATGTCAAATTATTATACATACATTAAGTTTTAGTTTGCCAGACCATTACAATAGGCAGCAGACGGATGGACGGATGCAATTACATTATCATATAATTCAATTATTAAACCAATAGTTCGTACTCTGAAAGACCTTAAGCTTTATTTTTGTAATTTTGTTTTATTGACCCAAGCAATTTGCAAACTATGATAGCAATGAAGGCTTTAGGTGTCGAAGAGATAATTGTGAGGGGCCTAAAAAACGATTTTCTGTACAAATGCGTAGAAAGGAAACAACAAGTAAAATATTATAATGGGCCACGAGCCACCATTTAATGTCCTTCGCTTAATGCAATTCTTCAAATAATTACTCTTTAAACTAAAGCCTTATATAGGAAGTTGTTGAAAAACTTTTTCCAATTCGAAACCAATATGAATAGCGTCTGTCCTTGGGCGAAGACACAAGCATCTGAAAAATTGCGACTTGTAGTTTGAACACAAAATCTTTGGACAAACATTAAACAGGCAAACAGACAGGCGGACCGATGCACAAATAAGCTTAGAATCACTTTTTGAATCGAACAGTATTACAAAGGAGGGATTCAGCTCAAGTGTTTCGGGGCGTTGTATTTGCCTGTACAAGTTTTAATATGTTCTTATATTACAAGCGCGATAGTGAATTATCTGAACCATGTATCTGGCCATTGTAAATGACCGGAGCGAAATAATGTAAACCTAAGTGTGTTTCAAAAATGGATCAACAATCGAAACACAGTTGTTCATTGCGACAATTTAATATGACACATCTTCAAGTTCATTTTTAGCTAAGATATCTAATCAGCTTTAGATTCACGCATTTTTTTTTTTGTTTTTTTTTTTTGTTGAATTCCGGAAGATCTTATTTGCGGTGGCTTGCCCCTCACATAATTCACTTCTATAATGAGTATAACACATTGAAAGTAATTTGAATTTGTGCCGTTATTATCAGAAGTTATTAGCGAGGAATACAAATTATTCGGCAAAAGTCGAAGACGAAATGAAAAACTTGCAGTTTTGATACATCGATACTTTCACATTAGCGAAACATATATATATACAGATATACACATATATATGCATATACCTACACATTTATATATACATGTTCATATATACGTTTATAAAGATTAAAGTGAGACGCGAAAGACTTTTACGAACTTTTGATTTTACTTCTCTGCCTTTCGCCGATCTCAGTACGATCTTAGGCAGTTTTGCGGGCCGCAGTGAAGGAACATAAGCTGAACTTTGACCAAAGAGTCATTTTGGGAATAATTGGGGACGCAAGCCTGCTTAAGACTATTGCTATTTGACAATGCTTGCACTACATATTTAGGAGCGTAGTAAATAGAAGCTTGGAACCAAATATAGTTAACTTTTATTCGCCAAAAATAAGAACTGTATGTACGGGCATTAAAGCAAAGCTATTATAAATGCTTGAAGTAAAGTGAATACCGCTGGATGATCTATCGAATCGACAAGTGGAGACTATTAAGGCTATAAGGAAAGAGGCTAATAACCGATAAAAATCAATTCGCATATCGAACATACGTTTGTTGTTATCGATTTCTAATTGTTCGTTTCCTAAGGCATGCAAGGAACAATTACATGATGTATTTAATTAAGTTGCATTTCTCTGTTCTGCCTTAGCAACAGGATGATATAGACTTTTGGGCAGAACTGTCGCAAAATTTCCTTATATTCTTATTATGATATTTCTTGGAGAATTTTTGGCAGATCATTATATTCTTTCTTTTATCATTGGTCTCACACTATGCCTGCACATGTTATTAATAGTTTAAGCCTCTGAAATAGGATAAATAAAAGAAGCTTTCGATTTAACGCTAACTTTTATTATAACACAATTTCAGTTAGTCTTATTTTAATATCCAATAGGAAAATCCATTTAATAATAAGCATTTACAGCGGCTTAAATCAGCGCAGTATTGACTTTGTCCTTTACATTAAATGAATTTAATTTAATATTTAGTTATCCATTTTAATTTTAATAGTTAATTTTTATATTATTTATAAATATTTAAAAAGTTCATAAATAAGTAACATTTTACCTTTGACGACTGCAATGATCAACAGAAAAATAATCATCATCTTTTCATTATTAAGTTCAACTCTAAAGTATGATTTGTTTTCGGCTGAGCTCTCCTGCTGTCAACTTGATGAAGATTCCTTTAATTTTTGCACGTTTTTATGCAATTAACCAAAAAAATATTAGTTAAATACTTTTTTATTTTATTTTATTTCATTGAAATCTTTCCAAAATCTTTTCTTTTTTTGGTTCTTTCTTCTCTTTTCTTTTCTTTTCTTTTCTTTTTCTTTTATTCTTTTTAGTTTGTTTTGCTTTCTGTACAACACACAAATGTCGAGATTGTGTTAATTCCTTAATTATTTAAAGATAATTACAGACACTCGCGTCGATTAAATTATATTAAAGAGAGATCTCGTTATAATTACAAATAACCACAAATTTTGGTTTTAATAAGATTGAATGAATGCACATCTCTAGACACTGTAGAGATTCGCATACGTACGCCTACTAACTATGAAACAGTGCCATATATCTCGATAAGCGATGAATGCATTTACACAATGCACACAATGCGCACATTAACTAACGTACACTAAATAACGGATGCATTTAATTGTTTCGTCTTTACTTCTTAATTGAAGTGGTAAAATAGACTACATATATCGACATACACATAAAAATATATACGCATATAGATTTACACGCGCACGCACACGCATACATAAATACGCACACACACACACACACACATACACATACACATACACATACACATACACACGAAACAAATGCACATGTAAACGCACAATTGTGCATTAATTTTTGCTGACAAAATATTTGAAATTTCTTGTTTCAAATAATAATGCGAGGGAGAGATGTAACGAAGCGTCCAAATATGAGCAGAGGCATTTAAATACTGAAACCGATGTTAACATCCAACCACAATGCAAGGCACAATCTGACCAGAAAAACTCAGCATCAGAAAAACGACGAAACGACAGCCAAACCGAACTGCTAACGACAATCGGGTTCAGAATTCGTTTTGTAATATATCGTAAATTTCGTCCATTATTCGAATATCGTTTCCACACCAACTCGTATATCGTTTTGCATTGGATTGGCCGAAAGAGAGTCCTTGAACATAGCATCCACCATGTGCTTAAATTGAGGAGCACATGGTGGACTTTAATTTTTATCCGTTTGTTTGTTTGTGTTTTTTTTTTTTTTTTTTGTTTCTTGTGTTTTTTTTTTTTTTTTTTTTTTGCTTTTTATTTCTTTTGAATGAGTTTTTATGCAGCCTCGCAATAGGACAAGAGAAGTATATTTTATTATTCTTTTTTATTTCCTCAAGTTGTTTCTGTTGTTTTTGTAGACCCTTTGAATTTATGTGCCATGCGCATTACCAGCCTGAAGGAGGAGTATCAACATTTTTGTTTTGACAAATGGTATGACAACTAATGCCAACACTCTAACAGTACGTGTTCATGCATGTGTACGGATAGTGATGCATATTTAGTTGCATCTACTACTTGTTGTTTCTGTTATATTTGTAAATATTATAATTTGTTAGCTTATGTTTGTTTGCTAAAGTAGGTGTCAGTTATATAAGCACATGTGTCTTTTTTTTTTTTTGTTTGTTTTGTTTATTCCCTAAAGTTAAACCTAAGCTTGTGTTCGATGCATGCATGTACATGACAAAGATGTTGTTGTTAAGTTTTTTGTGGTTTTCTACATAAACATATTGTGGATTTTATTGTCGCTTTAGGTCGCATAATAAATTCTTTTAACAACGAGACCCAGTGATTCGTCGACAGCGCAGTGATAGAGTCTTTCATTTCCATATGTTTATGCGGCTCAAGGTGTCCCAATACGTACTGAAATAATAATTTGGGTTTTGTAAATTATTTTGTTTATTTATATCTATATATTTAGAAATTTTTCGTATTTTATTTAATTTGTACATTTGTGTTTTATAAATGTAACGAAAAGATCATCTCTTTGGTTCCCGGTTTAGTTCTTTACAAATATTTAACCTTCCAGTCTCTTCTTTATCTTTTTTGTTAAGTATTTCTCTGAAAAGTAACATTTTCAAAGATGTCTCGAGCATCGTTATTTAAATGAAAATAAAAATTTTATCAATTTAAAATGAAACAATCAAAAATTTATATTCGGTTGTGACCAAAACTTTTATACCGATCACCGTTACCCTAAAAAAAACAAAAAAAGTATAAGAATCAAATTTTCATGCGCTATAATGTAAAGCGAGCGCGGCTGATATTTCCTATTTCCAAAATAAAAGTTTTTGGCGCATAGGGGTGTGCGCGTTGTAGGCGTGACCTTTTCAAAGTTTAAGTCATTTTAAAATTCTTTTGCAAGTTTGTAGACGATATTATCATTTTCGCTAACGGGGCAAAGTTTACCGAAATACTACACAGTCGCGTAGACAGACCGACGGACATGCTTAGGTTCATTCCAAATTTGAAACCAGCCAAGAATTTTGATATTTTATGGGGTTTTTGGAGCTTGCTTCTACGCCCTATAGTGCTAGTGACAAAAAAAATTAAATATTGATAAGCTATAACATTGGGTCGACGTGGGAAATATTTTCCATTTTTGTGCACAAATACTACAGCACCGCCCATATATTACGCTTTCAATTTTTCGCAGATTTATCTGGTGTAGCTTATGAGTAATGAGCAAGAAACCAATATTTTATTCCATTGGAAAAAGAAAGTTGTCCTTCGTTTACGTAGTAATGTAGACGTGTCGTTCGATGACCGTCCCATTGTCACTACCGACTCGATAATTTCACTTGTGTAGCTGCGAAAATGTTTACAACAGAGGGACAAACAGACGTGCTCAAACGGGTGCATAATTTCATGCTGATCAAGAATATGTATACTTTATGGGATCACTGCTGCTTCCTTGTGAAAATTTAGCTCTTTTACTCTTTTTATCCCTTTTAGGATGACGGTGATGGGTGCAAGAGATTCGGTCATGACCGAATACAATTTTCTTACTTGTTTAAGCTGTCTTCGTGCAGTTGGGTATTCTGGGGTATTCCAGTCAATACTTTATTTCAAATTGTATTCGTTACCACGGCCTACTCTTAAATTCCATCAATTTTTAAAAAAGTTTTATTAGTCCCCCTTATCCTTTTTTTTTGACAAACACTTCGATGAGCTCTCGCTCTGACGTTGTCTACGCAGACTTGGGGAGAGCCTTCGATAAAGTGAACCGCAGCTCACAACTTAGTGCTCTCTAAACTCCCTTTTTCTAATCCCGTCTATACGAAGATATTTGCAGGTGTTCTAGCGTACTCTATAATATAAACTTTGATATCTCTCTTAAGTCTAGATGGCGCTAAATTGTCATTAATTTGTCACTGACTTCATATTATACCTGAAAGAAAACATTTAAGGAAGTAAGAAGTTATAATCAGTTGCGGCCGAATCTGACATTTCTACTACTATTACAGTCTTTGGCATCCCAAGCTTTCAAAAAAAAAAAAAATGCTTTTTAAGAAAAGTGAATGGAGTAAAATTGATCTCTCACCTTTTACTTGAATAAAAGGCATTGTTAAGAAGAGTTAATCCTCCACGTCGTGACGTCCACGGTAAACAATTTAGAATTAACACACCTAGCTTATCTCATTCAACTCATCATGCCAAGACGGCATATTCATGAAAAAATTTATGCCTCACGCCCTTACGCCCATTACAATTAATTTCGAGTTAATGCACTTAACTTGTCGCATTCTACTTTTCACGTCCTTTTATGTGATACCAATATCAGCGATATTGTAACGAAAAATCAATCCGCTACTCCGTGACGCCCACCATAATTAGTATAGAACCAACATAAATACCCTACCGCCTTGTATTCGCCAAATCCTTTTATTTGATACCCATATCGCTGGTATTATTAAGAAAATATTGATCAACCCGATCGTGGTGGGCACGACTTTTGTTGCAGAATTAACGCATTTTTAGACGGATAATATACCTTCATTTGAGGTATGTGCAAAATAGTATTAAACATTGTTCCTGGATTAATATGCATAACCAACTTAAAAAAGCGAAAAAAAAAAAAAACGAAAATTTAGTCCCTTACAACTTTGTGAGGGCATGGCTGATTTTTTCCATTTTTGTATATAAATATTAGTGTTTCGCCTTAAGTAAATATGGAAGATTTCAGGCTTTTGTCTTCTACAATTCGTGAGTACAATTCTTTGCAGACTTGTGTTCTGATCAATTTGGATCATTTTCAAAACCAATCTGCGTGCAAGAAGTTGCAGTATTTCTGCTAAATTTGAAGTTGATCGCTTAATTTTTGCAATCATTACACAGACCGACAACCACACGGACGGACAGGTGGAAAGAATTTGATGATGATCGGGAGTATATTAAATTTGTGCGGTCTCTGAAGCTTCCATCTGAGCGTTGCAAACGGTTTGACAAAACGAATATCCCAATATTCCTTCAGCGCTGGGTATAAAAACGAACACATTGAAATAACATTAATGGCTTGGAAACACTGACCGTCTATGATATGAAGATACAATGGATCGCTTCTTAAAAACCACAACCCCTTGCCCCTTATCTAATTGCTTTCTTATCTAATACATATATTATACATATACATTCAACTAGTTATTGCCTTGAAACGCATTCTCTATCGAGACTAGAAATTTTTTTGACGGTTGGAAAGAAATGAGGAAGGGGTTATATATAGGGAAGTACGTAATCGGTAAATATTATGCTTTTACCGACCGATGAACATAAACTGGGTAGTCGCGATAATCGGTAGTCGGTTGGAAGTAAATGAAGAAATTCTTTAAAACTGAGGTCTCTCTACCGGTGCCGCGTTCAGTTTTCGTCCGTTTGCTAGAAAATGTAATTCAAACTTCACAACACAACAATCTTCTAAGGAAACTCGCAAGGTTTTTCTTGATAAATTACAATTTGTCGATCTTATGAGCGATTTTTGAATCACGGTCACTAAATGTTGAATTCGATTTTAAGAAAATTTCTGATTTATTTTTCACGATGCAAAATTGTAACGGTACAATAAGTGAGATCAAGTCAAACGAGGACACAATTATTTTGTTCTTTAAGGTATTTGAAAAATAATAATATTCAGGTAAAAACTTATATATTAAGGCACGTTTTCCACCTTTTTTGTTTGTAA